TCCTTTGAAAATTTCGTTTTATAAGGTCCGTAAAGATCTCCTAGCAAGTTAAAACCGCTTCGCTTGCCACAAAAAGAGCAAACCCATGTATCGCCATCAACTCCGCCGCGCGGTTTGGTCGACATGACGTGTTTTACGGGTGAGCTTGAAGTGGAAATTTTGCGTTTCTTCGAGGGCCTTCCAATACTTACTGTTGGAGCTTCTACCGACCGTTTCGTGCTCGCAACCGACGGTCCGGAAGCCGAGGACATTTCTTGAACAGCGACAGCAGTTTTTGAGAATTTACGTTTAGTGACAGGCTCCGACTTGACCTCTTCCTCTATTTCTGAGTCGCCTTGTTTTCGCTTGACTTTATGCACGTATGGTTTTCGCTTTTGCTTATCTTTACTTCCCACTGGTCGTCCACGAGTTTTGTTTGGCGTCACCTGTTTATTTCCTTCCACCGGGGAGGCTTGAGTGGTAGAAGACGTTTCTGCTGTTTTATCAGATTTTTTCGAATGTGGATTGTCTTTCGTGCAAGAAGATTCCGTCTTATCAGTTTGCTTATCCTTTTCCCCAGTTTTACGGCCTTTATCAGGTCGAGTAGGTGAATTTTTAGTTGTTTTAGAGGTTGGTGATTTGTCTTTCTTCACAGGATTCTTGGTTTTGGGCGAGTGCTCTGGATTTTTAACGCTCTTTTCTTTATCAGACATGGTTGCAGTTCCAGAAATTCCCTTGTCTGAAACATTCAATGCCTCGTTCCGTGGACTGCTCGGGCAATTTTCAACTTTACTGTCGTTTCTGTCTTTTGTTGTATCTGTAGCGTTACCTCCTTTTGTAGCCGAATTACTTCCAGAACCCGTCGTAACTGGGTTCACAATAATCACCTGTGGATTTTGTTTGGATGAATCGGTGCTAAGCTTTTGTACCGGCATCAAGATGTTCCCCTGAATGAGGTACATCTTTCCAGTGGTAGTCTTTGCCACCATCACCTGTTGATTGCTCTGTGAAGAAGTGCCCTTGGCAATGATGGTAGCCTTAATGGGGGTTGCCTGGTGCTGGGTGGTGCGTGCTGTAGCTGTATGCTGCTGCACTGTCTGAATTCCCAGGGTTCTGCTCTCAACTACATGGCCGCCATCGCTGTCTGACTCCTCTTGAGTTTTTTTATCCGCTGGAGTCTTTTCGTGTTGGTGATCATCATCATCTGAAGAGAGACGTTCTTCACATCTTAGGGAAGGCATTGCTAGACGCTCCTTTTTCCTGGGGACTTTGGCATCTAGAGTACCATCGGAAAGTGATTTCTCCGTCGCACCGCTGGACTCCTCACCGATGGCCTTAGGCTCATCTACCGTGCTGCAGACTTTGGGTTTCTCAGTTATTCCAGTTTCTCTACTTTCAGCTTCTTTCACCTCTTCACCTTCCTCAGACTCCTTAGCCGGAGTATCAACTTTGGCTGTCTTATTAAAATTCTCCTCCTTATCTACGCACACAGCACGTGCGTCATCAACGCCAGAACCAGTCTTATCAGTTTCACACGCATTGGAGGCACCTTCGATAGTTCTCACTTTTCCAGTCCCATCATCATTCTTTTGGTTGGTTTTCCCATTTTCCTTACATCGGTCGTCTAATTTTCCACAACTCTGACTGGTTTTGTCTGCTTCGAGACCGGTTGATCGTGTCTTGTCGTCAGTATTATTACTTTCGTCGGAGGTTCCACTCAAATCCCCGATTTTGGAATCTGTCACAGAAGCGACTGATAGTTCTTCGTTGTCAGTACCCGTTTTTTGCAATTCTCTGTTTGATTTCTCTTTACAATCAACAATTTTTCCCTCAGAAGGTTCCTTCCCTCCTGTGCACGTCTCATCCTTATCATCATTGCTAAATTTCGAGTTCTCGTGGGAAGTTCCAACGTTACCCAGCTCCTTAACTGGACTTATGGCACAGCTTTCTGCCTCAATAGGGCTCGTTGCACTTTCTTCTACTCCTTCATGCTCCACTTCAGATTTCTCTATTGATTGTGGAGCAACGGAAGTCGTTTCTACCGCAGTTGTTTTCTCTGGCTTTACTTCATCACCTTCGCATTGGTTTCCTACCTCTTTGCTAATATCACATGAAGATTCTTCGACCTTACTGTTCGATAAACTCTCCAAACTTCCCTCCTCTTGACCATCCTCCTGTCTTGACACCGACTTGCTCTCATTGGATTCATTAACATTGATTTCTTTAGACTTTGCTTCAGTCTTATCACACCCATTCTTTCCGATCGTTTCTCCAGTTTCATTCTTGTGTCCATCCGAGCACAAAGACTCTTCTTTCATAATTGAGGGTGAAACATAAGGACTTGCAGCATCTGAGGCGCTTCGTCGTTGTCGAGGATTTGCTTTGAGGGTTTCACTTCGTTTCTTTGCAGACGTTGACTTCTTCTTGAATGAGCATTGTACAGCATTGGAGACAGTAACCGTTGGTTCTGAATTCATTGGACTTGGATCACTGCTTGGTGGAGACGATGCCTTCTCCTTTGCGGTGAGAGGTTTCAGAGAGCTTCTTTCCTCAAATCCAAGTTGCCCAACTCCAGAGAGATCTGGAGTTGTGGCACTTGGAGAGGGGCCCTTGGTTGGAGATCTCTTTGATGGAGGAGAAGGCATTTTCACGGTGTTCTGATGTCCTGGATAAGATGCACGACGTTGGGTTAAGCCTCCTGTCTTGCTGGCAGCCATAAGCTGTTGCGACTGGAAGTGAGACTGTGAGGGTGTAATGCTGGGTTGAACAAACATACACGAACTCTGCGTCGGTTGTTGCTGATGTTGCTGGAAATGCCCTTGACTTGACCCAAACGGAGACCTGGGCTGCGGAAAGTGTTCTTGAAGCCTGCTGTACATGCCTGCATCTTGCTGTGGTACTGGTGACGTTGAGGAGGATCTTCGTCCAGGGGAGCAAGGTGGTTGGTATGGGTTTGTAGAAGATGTGTACGGAATGTTAGGCAACTGCATCCCTGTAGCTGATCTGGCTGTGTAGGAAGGGCCAGCAGAACTATACCCCTGCATTTGAGATTGTGTGGGTGATGATGATGGCCTCTTAGGATATGAACTGGGCTGATATGGAACCTGCTGTGAATATGGTATTCCTGAAGGCTGCAGAAATCCTCCTCCTTGTGGCATCTGCTTCCCCACAGGAGACACTGCCTGACTCATTCCATAGCCATCCGCATAGTACTGTTGCCTATTGCTCATAGCAGCTAGGCTCAAGGAGGCTGGTCCAGGCATTCCCATGGGCTGAGTGGGGCCAGCCTGTGGACCAAACTCCCCCATGGTTTGTCCACTGACACCTCCAGGAGGGTAACTGGGATCCGGAGGAAAACCACCCTGATACGGACTCATGGCTTGGGAATGAGTTTGAGGAGACACAGTCCTAGCACCCTGGTAACCTCCGTTGTATCCTTGATAATTTCCATTCCCATACGCAGATTGTGGAGGCTGCTGCTGTTGCTGTTGCTGCTGCTGCGGATACTGCTGCTGTTGAAGCATTAGATCCATGTCTGGCTGCATCATGCCATTGTTTGGACTTCTTGGAATCATTTGACCTGGATTCATGGAGGGGTAACCAGAGCTACACTGTTGCTGTTGTTGGGAACTCATTCCAGTAAACTGCTGCTGCATACCTGCATAGCTACCAGACCCAAATGCCATACCAGTCTGGGGATATCCCTATCAAAAAACAAAAACATGTTGAAACATTGTGAGGAAAAGGTAAATTTTTCCCAGAAGGCTCAGATATATAAACATGCCAAATGATAGACATCAAAATGTGGTAACAACATCAGCAACAAACTTGGCTACTCCTTGCCTGCCACTTCATTGTTCTTTCCACATTTTGAAGTCAACCCTGATCCACGACTTAACAGACACATGGCAGCATGGAATATATCGAGAAAGACGTTTTTTGTCTTGTCACAAGCAAGGGACAAAGAGAAAATTCTGAGCCCTCATGAGGAATCAAATCTCAGACCTTCGGATAGATTCCATGCAATCTATCTGTTCAAAATATCCGAAAGTAGGCAACAACTACTTGATGAGCACCATCCTAAATATTAATGAACCCTGCAAGTGCAGCGCTTCAAAGGGTTTTCAAGTTCTTCTTTCCCACAAGTGAGTGCAAAATTTAAATACATTTCTCTCCTCTCTGCTTTGAACGGGAAATGATTGATGGCATCATGAACTGAAATTCCAAGTTTGGCATGTTAGAGAAGGGTACAGTAGCAGCATGACAAAATGTTTGAAATTAAACTGCTCTGAAAAGTTCATCATTTGGTGTATTTAAGACAAAGATGAGTGAAATCTGTGTTTTATTTTGAATCTTAAAATGTTATCTTATCTCTCCTTGAAACAACTCAGTGGCACAATGATTATGCACAAACAACTTTACAAAGGCTGGCATTTTTTAAAAGGAGGCTCTTTTGTGTACAGAGTATAACAATGACATACATACTTCTTGCCATGGAAAGCACTTCTCATGTCTAACAAACTTTGAATTCATTCACCGATACAAAATGTTGTGGTGGAAGAACATGATTGTGGGTGCGTTTTACTTTGGAGAAAATGCTGTGAACAAGCTTCATGCATTAACCCTTTAACTCCCAAAAGTGATTAACATAAAACTTCTACCTATAATATCCATACATTTTTCAGCAAACAGGTAATGAGAATATTCAAACTTATCGGATAGAAGTTGCTATCTTGATCTAGCACCATGTTCTTATAACTTATTTACAAGGAAATGTGTAGCAGCTACAGGGGAGAATTAACAATCAGATCTTGGAAGTTAAAGGGTTCACTCATTGGTAATTCTCCATACTGTCTGTTAAACAATTCTTGTATTAATTTGGAGAATTTAGTATTGGGCCAACTAATAATCGCCTGATTGGTGTATTTCTTTATTCTCATCACTTGTCTGCTTGATATTGTATTAATATTGTGAGGAGAAATTCTGTCTTGGTCACACATGAGAGTTAAAGGGCTGATGGACAACAATAAAATTTAAATTAAACTAAAAAAATGAACAATTCTTATCATCTTTCTATTTTTACATGCATGTATTGATTCTGAGGTTGTACAATAATTTTCTTTTGCATGGAAATTAACAGATCATAGTCAATCATAATTCATTGCCCTCACATACATGTACCAAAAAAATTTTTTTCAAATGAAATTGAGTCATGTTTGCCACCATCACATACTCATTCTGTTGCTTTGTCCCTACTGAGCAAAGCAGCGTTTTTTTTTCTAGTGCTGTCTTTCATTGAAAATGAAGTGTAACTCAGGTGCACCAATTACAGTAAAAGTTAATAACTCCTTAATAAATGGTTTGAACCCTGGGGAACATGTAATAGTGTAGTCTAATTGTCTGGTTGAGTGTAATCCTGAGAAGGACTGTTGTCAGAAGTGGTGACTGACAGTTAAAAAACCTGAGCAGAAGTCATCATCGGAGTCAAGTGAATAGTCTTACAGCCAATAACATCACAGCACAACAGACTGATCAGTTTATACCAACTGGACTCTGAACATTCTAATGACAAAAATCATTCACTTGACCAGTGCTTCAAACACTCACAAATTATTATTATAGTTGTAGATATGTTTGTTCTTCAAAAATATCTGACATCCTGAGACCAATTTTTTTACCAATTTAGAGAGTCCTTGAACTAAAGTTTAGACTGGAGGTGTAACCTCAATTTTATACAGAGCTATTTTCAGATAAAACTATTGTTCCTTCATGGCTCAAGGTTATCACTGCGTATAACATCTGAAGCTGACAGCATGGCTGGTGTAAGCTGTTTGTCAGCATTTTCATTAACTCAAGGAAGCCAAATTTTCACTGATAATCTTCCAAACTTCCTCTATACATAGATAATTTGATATCTATAAGCATACTAATCATAAAACAAATAAAATGACTGTTCCACCAGCACCATGATTGTTTTTCTAAAACATATGCACACTGCCTAGTAGGAGAAATAAATAAGAAAGGTGCCTGCCAAGCTCAATGAAATGGTTTTATGTTGTTATGACCAGTACGCGGACTTAGGATAGAACGATGATGGCAAAATCCCCTAATGACTTTTTCTTCAACTCTGTAATTTTTACTCAAGTTAAATATTTTTTTAACTGTTTGTAGTCAACCATAGGCAATGGCAACAGCACATAGCCATCACTTGAAACTAAAACTTTTTTGTCTGGAAGCAGTTTTGTTTACACCCTTCATAAAAGATTGCAGGAAGTCTGTTTGTCATTGTAATGGCATTAATAGTTAGATAAAACTGTCTGCAAAACTGACTCATGACAAGCTTATGAATCAAAATGAGGGTAACAGACTCTTCACAGAAATAAATAGTGGATCTCACTGTTGTTCAAGTATTTGCTGCACTGATGCTCAGTTCCCCCTTAATTTATTTTTTATAAAACAAAATGTAAAAATATAACTTAAACAACAGGAAGAGTAAGTTTGTTTGTCATTGCACAATGTTCTAATTTTATTTAGGTAACTGGTTATAACATGTCGACCAATTGACCTCAACTGTCTGTGAAGAAGACATCCGTGAACTGATGCATTTGGGAAAAGGACACAATAGCAATGAGATTACAGGGAGGAATTTTTGAGCATGATAAATAAATTTTAATCTCAAAAATCAGCTTTTAAAAAATGTTATTCTTTTTTTTACATTTATACTTCAAATACGATTGAATTTCATGCATGTACAAAGGTCTAAAATTGTTCTAAAAGCAACCAGTAAATTCATAATTTGTACTTCACTCCTTAAAAAAAAAATTAAATAAAAACATCATGCTATCCTCAAATTATAGTGGCAATAAAATGAAGGACTTATTGCAGGCGATTGTGTATAATAGATAAAATTCTCGACTGTACGAAATGAAGAAGGATAAGGAAGCAGGAAGGTGAATTTATACTTTGGCTATGTGACTGAAATTGTTAGTCGCGTATTTACAATTGTAAAGTTGAATGATGGTACAAAACATGGAGGTTTGAAGCAAACGAGCCGACATGAAATGTTTACCAGAACGGAACAAATATTTGTTGCATCCCATTACATATTCGCCCAGATTATTTACCCCACAACCTGTTGAATTTCCTTTGACAGCATTGCCATTCATTATCGATTTCGAAAATCGTGTCACGACAAACTAAAATACGGCAAAAATACTGAAAAGGGGACATGAAATTACTTGCGAGGACAAGTAAGCGCCTATTGTTAAAACGAAAAGCGGAAACTGCGTTATTTGAGGAAGTAACAACTCCCTATTCACATACAAACAAAGCATAGGTGAAGGTTGCATCTGTTTAAGACCATTCCGCGCTCTCGGACATGCGCGTGTGACAAGCATGCCAAAATGACTGGTGCCGTAAAATCAACAACAAATTAAAATCTTACCCCAGATTGAACCATCGCTGACTCGTCCATGGGCCCTTGAATACTTTCGTCAGGAGGGTCAGCGCGCATTAGCATTTTCATCAAGTCCCCATCGCCCTCCATGTCTGAAAGAATCCGCAAGCAAATTATTTGAAACGCCGCCTGGAATCTCTCGTGAAGCGACAAACACGCGCGATCAGTACGCGAAGTACACGCCGGCTTTCTACTCCATTCAGGAGGTAATCTTTGCACGCATACAACCACAGAAAGCTTCTAAACACCAAAGATTAATCACCAATTTTGACGCAGAAAAGCTTGTGGTCATGAAAGGTCAAATTATTAATTCCGCTGTCTGCATATGGAATGTTATATCATCGCATGTCGGTTGCCCCCTACACGCTACAGCTACGGTAAGTACAACATATTGTTGTTGAACAACCCGACGCAATGACACAGCATTCAACTCACCTCAATCATAGATCAAGGCCTCGGGTTTCTGTAGGTGATGGTGAATTAAAGCGCGAGATTTCTCCGTTTTCCAGCAAAGTAATCGCCCATACATTTGTGATTTACTGCCAACTTTGCGAGCAGTTCACATTTCACCTTTACCGCGACTGGTCAGCGGTACACTCCGGAAATTCGACTTAGTCCCCTCAGCAGTGCCATCCGGCAATTCAACCTATGACAGTACTCGACCCAGCGGGAATCTCTGATTGTAACAAAGAAACATGAGAACCTCAAATACATTTTAATACCGTATATGTGATTTTTCCTGTTATGATTCTAAACGTTAGTATTCTTGTATCGAGGAACTCGAGCCCCCCCCCCATTTGAAAACGGAATTCGACTAAGTTGTCGTTGCCATTGTTTTCAAAATTTGACTTCCGGTTCCTTTAAAAACAGGAAGGTAGAATGTTGGGCAGTTAATCTTACCAAGAAGGGCCTGGAAACCACAGATTTGTATTGCGGAAGAAGCAAACTAAATAATTATTGTACGGAGAAAAATATAATTGATGAGATTAGTTTTCGTGAGGTAGAGGAAATAGGACAAATGAAAGGAACAATTAGAATTTGACTACTGCCTTAAACGGCCATCTTAACTGATGACGCAAACCCTTAAGAAAAGACGACAACGATAATAAGAAGGTAGTGCAAGACAAAATTTAGTGAGCAGAACAGTAGCTTAGCTCACGCAGTCTCAAATTTTGTGTAGACCCTAATCAGGCCTTCGCCGATCCGTAAAACGAAAACGCGAAATCATCAAAATGTGAGTGGTACGAGAACGGGAACCTCAAAGGCCAGTAATATTCGTTTCCATTCGGAACTCGACGCTGTTCACACAAGTCATGCTGAAGCTAAGGTCTGGCTTCCTTAGGAACGGTAAAAGCATCCAGGCATTTGAAAAATTTTTAGTAAAAAATATACCTATTTGATAAGCGAAGTTTTTTCTCACCGTTGTTGTTTTAACTGCTTAAGATTCCTCGTGTTTCAACCAATAAACACACGCATCAAATGAAGACAGGAAGTGCTTTCGTAACTATCCTTTCGGTTTCCGTTTGGATGTGAACAAAGTTTAAGTAGCGCGAGGTCATGGGGCGAAACAGAGCCCAAAAAAATTTGGAGCCGAGGGCTGGGGAGTGGTACGCAGAATGAGATAACGTTCATCACTGCCACTCATTCTTTGTTTTTCTTTAAAGAAAAGACCCTCTTTTAATGAGAAATTAGCCATAATCTATAAGAGTAACTAAGGACATAACTCAGGCTTAAATTCTGTTAAGAACGTTCTTATTTTTTACATAGTTTTCTTGACGAGAAGTATGAATAAACGTTATATAAATAAAAACTGTAGTATTACAGGAAGATTGACCCAGATCCTTATGGATATCCTTTTTTAAACTTCACAACATACTGCGTATCGGAGGAAATCTCATTTTTTAGTTGAACTGAATGTATACTTGATAACACTATCAAATACTGACTTTATTGAAGAGAACTCATTCCCTTGTATCTCATTCACCTTATTATGTTATGTTTGAACGTCTTACCAAACTATTATACCAAACTATTATTTTGTGTTTCTCTTAGCGTTAAAGGAATTTTTTTTCAGAAAAATTATGTGACTTAATAACAATGAACTACAGAAATGAGACAACTTTTAGTGGATTCTTTGATCTGGTAAACTAATATTAATGCGAGGGCATTCAGATTCACTATCCTTACACGTTAGTATATAATAATTAACATTTTAGCTATTCATACTCCATCTACTCTAGTCTTCATGCTCTATCACACTCATTGTCCTTGATTTTTTTTAAGTGTAGCTATAGGTTCTAACTTCAAGGGCGTAGCTGGGGGGATCCTGTGGTGCCCTTAACCCCCCCCCCCCCCC